TTTTTTTGCGGTAGTTTTTGGCAATACCCCCAAAAGAATTTAACAGATATATCCATCTCTCACTGCTGAGTGGTTAAGGTAACCCTCATACATTAATACATAAAAATTATTTATTTTAAAGATTTTCAATGCAGCAATGTAATAACAAAAACTCAATTAAACTAAAACTTGCTATTTTTATACTAAAAGTAGGAATTAAATATTAAAGTAATTTAATGATAAAATTAGGCAGAGTTTCTATTAAAAATGTTAATTTAAATTATATATTTTGACTTTTATACATATTTTCAGAAATATCTTTTGCTAATAGCTAAATTGTTTTTATCTCTCAGGCTACAAGAAGAACTTTTATAGCAAACACTAGTGTAAAAGTTTTTCAATCAGTCAATTTCATTTTTAATGGATAAGGCCAATTTTGTGTTTAAAGTGTTAATATGATTGTTGCTGTTCTAAGTGTTTATTTTAGTATGATACCAGCAGCATCAAACACAATTTATAAGAAATTTCATTAAGATCATTGAGCCAGGAATTCATCATTTGCATTTGATTACAAAATACTTAGCAAGTGTTTTTCATAAATCAAAAGAGAAAAGTCATTCAATGTCAGTAGGAATTGTGAGATGAATGGTCTAGCATCTTTGATCTGAAAAATCACACACATGCCATGCAATTGTTGTGTTTTCTGGCATTATCAGGGAGTAAGATTACTACCTGCTCTTGTAACCATGTCATTACTGTGTCTTGAACCTTGTCACTACCATCAAACTTTTTCCAGAGAGATATTCCTTCAACTTCAAAAATAAGTAATAATTACTTGATGCAAGATCTGGACTGTGCTATTAATGTTTTAAGTTTTTCCACTTGAATGGCTATAACAAATGTCCTGTGATGTGAGTAGTAGTGTGCAGACAGGTGTTATCATGCAGTAGGACATAATTTTGTTGCATTTTGCCTGCTAATAAGTTCTCACCATAAATGGAAACAAATTGTTTATGAATTTCAGAGGCAAATTCTTCTTTTTCACAAAGAAATGAAATCACTGAATGAACCTTGCACTTAGTGAGATTACAAATTGACAGGGCCATTTTAAACACACACTGAAGACATAATGATGTTGCAGTTAACATCAAGTGATTTCTATCACAAAACTCAGACCCTAACAGACATGGCAGTACAGCAAACAATGGCAAAATAATTTTTTTTACATTTCTACTAGTCTAGCATCTTTAGTTTCTGAATATGCCTCGTAATAGTCTTTAAAAATATATTTTACACAAACTGGATAAAAAAAGATCAAAACATCATGCCTTTAAAAGATCCAGTAATGAATTTAATAAAATAAAAATGTTTTCAATCAGTTTTACTGATTAAAAATGTTTTACTGATTTTTCAATCAGTTTTATTGATTGAAAACATTTTTAAAATTTTTAATTTTAAAATTAAAAATTTTAAAAATGTTTTCAATCAATAAAACTGATTGAAAAATCAGTAAAACATTTTTAATCAGTAAAACTGATTAAAAATGTTTTCAATCAGTAAAACTGATTGAAAACATTTTTATTTTATTAAATTCATTACTGGATCTTTTAAAGGCATGATGTTTTGATCTTTTTTTATCCAGTTTGTGTAAAATATATTTTTAAAGACTATTACGAGGCATATTCAGAAACTAAAGATGCTAGACTAGTAGAAATGTAAAAAAAATTATTTTGCCATTGTTTGCTGTACTGCCATGTCTGTTAGGGTCTGAGTTTTGTGATAGAAATCACTTGATGTTAACTGCAACATCATTATGTCTTCAGTGTGTGTTTAAAATGGCCCTGTCAATTTGTAATCTCACTAAGTGCAAGGTTCATTCAGTGATTTCATTTCTTTGTGAAAAAGAAGAATTTGCCTCTGAAATTCATAAACAATTTGTTTCCATTTATGGTGAGAACTTATTAGCAGGCAAAATGCAACAAAATTATGTCCTACTGCATGATAACACCTGTCTGCACACTACTACTCACATCACAGGACATTTGTTATAGCCATTCAAGTGGAAAAACTTAAAACATTAATAGCACAGTCCAGATCTTGCATCAAGTAATTATTACTTATTTTTGAAGTTGAAGGAATATCTCTCTGGAAAAAGTTTGATGGTAGTGACAAGGTTCAAGACACAGTAATGACATGGTTACAAGAGCAGGTAGTAATCTTACTCCCTGATAATGCCAGAAAACACAACAATTGCATGGCATGTGTGTGATTTTTCAGATCAAAGATGCTAGACCATTCATCTCACAATTCCTACTGACATTGAATGACTTTTCTCTTTTGATTTATGAAAAACACTTGCTAAGTATTTTGTAATCAAATGCAAATGATGAATTCCTGGCTCAATGATCTTAATGAAATTTCTTATAAATTGTGTTTGATGCTGCTGGTATCATACTAAAATAAACACTTAGAACAGCAACAATCATATTAACACTTTAAACACAAAATTGGCCTTATCCATTAAAAATGAAATTGACTGATTGAAAAACTTTTACACTAGTGTTTGCTATAAAAGTTCTTCTTGTAGCCTGAGAGATAAAAACAATTTAGCTATTAGCAAAAGATATTTCTGAAAATATGTATAAAAGTCAAAATATATAATTTAAATTAACATTTTTAATAGAAACTCTGCCTAATTTTATCATTAAATTACTTTAATATTTAATTCCTACTTTTAGTATAAAAATAGCAAGTTTTAGTTTAATTGAGTTTTTGTTATTACATTGCTGCATTGAAAATCTTTAAAATAAATAATTTTTATGTATTAATGTATGAGGGTTACCTTAACCACTCAGCAGTGAGAGATGGATATATCTGTTAAATTCTTTTGGGGGTATTGCCAAAAACTACCGCAAAAAAATTCACCTAAAAAACGAATTATGTAACAATAAAAAAAGACTTTTCTTTACTAGACATAACTGTTTACAAAATCTTTTTCCGAAATGGTAATGAGAAAAAACTTGTGGAAAAACACTTTAAAAATTTCCCACATTTATTCTCCACTACTTTGGGATAGCACCATACCTGACCATCCCACTGTTGAAAACTTAAGAGTAGTTTGCACAGAGAAAGAAATAATAATAATTTGTACAACTCTTTCTTTATTACTTTAAAAATTTATTGTACTTACCCACTTGCCAATTTTCTTTACCAAAAGCATAATTTGCAGCTGGTGCACCAATCAATTCATGTAATTGAGGACTATAAATATCTGATGTAAAAACATTGTCAGATGAAGATTTTCTCAAATCAGGTAAAGCAGTGCTACTATCAGAAATACTAGTAGATGAGATTTGACTAGAGATTGCTTCTGGATGAAACATAATACCAAATAATAAACCAAGTGCCAGGATATGAAGTAACTAAAAAATAATTGTAATTATTAAATAAAAATTAGAAAATTAATACATATTTGAATTTATTATAAATTTAGATATGAATAAAACAAAATATATATTATTACATAACTGATTTTTTTTTGAAAAATTCATAATGGTACGTTCACTAAATAAATAAAATTTAAATTTATTAATTTTTAATTAAATTTTAATCAATAAGTATATTTTCACTTTCTTTTACAACTTTTTCTCATTTATTGGGTATCATAATTTTATTTTTAAAACTTATACATCACTACATCATGAAATGCTTAAAATGTCTTTTTTTATCAATTGAAAGGCTGAATGCAATAGTGGTCTAATCCTTTTCTTTTTAAATTGATAATATACTGTAAAAGTGGTGTGTCCTAATTTTTCATATTTTGCTGTCATACAAAAAACTCACACCTTTAAAATCTAGCAATGAATTTAATAAAATAAGAACATTTTTTAAGAACATTGCTGGATTTTAAAGGTGCGAGTTTCTTGTGATCTATATCTCCAGTTAGTTCAAAATTTATGGATATTGCTGTTATACTAGTTTTATTTCTATCATTACTTGTAATCAGAGCAACAGTAATCTTTCATTCATTTTAGAGATAATACATTTAATACACGAAAGTTTAATACTGTTAACTCAATTTTGACTTTGCAGAGGGTTAGACCATTGTTACATTCAGTCTTTCAATTGTTTATAATATAACTAAAGTTATGTTAATTAATAATAATTTGCACAAAAAAAAAATTGTTTTACTGTAGTAAAGTCAATTGATTTATAAATAAATGCAAATTGAAAAATGAGTTAAATATTGCTCAATTTTTTATTTGTAATGATAATATATGTATATATGTGTGTGTGTATGTATATATATATATATGTTGATGTATTAGAATAATGATAGTGAACTGAACATAACCACAATGATAAGAATAATCATTTATTAATAACACATTTATCTAATTTTCAACTGATAATGTAATTGCTATTTTTAAAAAATAAATTTCTATTTTCTATATGTGCACTATGGTCACATATTTAAAACAGAAAAATAAATATGTGGACTCTGCTAAACATAATTAATTCATCCAGCAGAGTAATCTATAAGTTAAAAATTTTACAACATGTAATTAGCCTAATCCATTGCAGATCTCCAGAAATGTTCTAACAAGTAAAAAAAAAAAAAAACTGATAGAATGAAAAAAGTGCCATTTGAAATGTTAAAAAACTCACAAAAAGCTCTCTGTCTACACAAATTCAGCTTGTTACATTAGCCATTTTTGAACTTTTCTTATCTTTTGAACAAATTCATATTCTTTTGCAGGTACAGTACATTTTTACACTATTCATTATTTCCTTCTTTGTAGAAATAGAAATAAACTTTTTTTTACTTTTTGGAGGCATGGTGTAATACACAATTTGTATTTAAAATAAATATTACTATCAAAATAAATATGTGCTTAGTAAATTTATAAATCACAAACCCACTTGCATCTGCTACAAAAGCACTGCACAGAACTAACTGATTTATGATTCTTATTCCTGTTCAATTTTTCTTACTTGCTTGAAATAAAAGAATGCTATCTCTAAGGGGTTGAATTTTCTGATTGGCTGATGCACAACCCAAACAAACAGCATAATCAAAACTGGATTCATCATATGAAGGAAAAAAAGGTCCTAGTACCAGGCATATCTGTTGGGATCAAACCTCTTACCCAAATACTGGAAGTCAATAGATTGAGTTCTTTGTTTGCTTCACCACCAATACACAAATCTTGGTGCATTATTCCAGAAATAGAGGGCATCATTGAAGACCTGGATTATATCCATAAAGAATTTTATCGTTCAAAGGCCACTTTTCAAATCTGTAATTTCTCCGTTCCTCAGCAGGTGATGGTCTTGTGGAATGTCTTGAATATGTCAAGAGGCGTTACGATAACAGGTTATATAATGATGTCATAGTTATCAGGGATGATAAATCAAAAGACACTGTCTTGTTATTATGATATACAGTAAAAGCTGTCTATGGCGACCACCCACGGTTCCTTCAAAAAGTGATCTTTTAGACAGTCGTCCAATACAGGTGGTGCTGTAATACCGTATTTCTGTACGTGTTTTGCGCACTTTTTAGCCATTTCTACTAAGCAAAACTCGAGGCGAGCAAAAATAAGCGAATGTTTTCAACGATAGAGCTATATTGGTATTGTATTTTATTCTTATCGGATAACCCGATTTAAAGGAGTCGTCATGATATTATAAGACAGATTTAATACCAATATTTTAAAGATTAATACAATACTCGCATTTTCTCGATTATAATGCACACTTTCTTTTTTCGATTTAATTAATTCGACTCGGTTCTTTTCGTTCGCTCCTCAGTTACGTGTATTACGTCATCAATATAAAACCGCGTCCTATCTCTCCATCACTTTACTTTTGGATTTCGTTAGTTTAATCTTATCTTAACTTTAAAAATACTGTATTTTTTTAATATTTAATATTTTCTTAATTAATTAAGTACAACAAGAAAAATTATTAAATAAAAACATGATTGTNTTAATTAATAATAATTTGCACAAAAAAAAAATTGTTTTACTGTAGTAAAGTCAATTGATTTATAAATAAATGCAAATTGAAAAATGAGTTAAATATTGCTCAATTTTTTATTTGTAATGATAATATATGTATATATGTGTGTGTGTATGTATATATATATATATGTTGATGTATTAGAATAATGATAGTGAACTGAACATAACCACAATGATAAGAATAATCATTTATTAATAACACATTTATCTAATTTTCAACTGATAATGTAATTGCTATTTTTAAAAAATAAATTTCTATTTTCTATATGTGCACTATGGTCACATATTTAAAACAGAAAAATAAATATAGTGGACTCTGCTGAACATAATTAATTCATTCTGCAGAGTAATCTATAAGTTAAACTTTTTACAACATGTAATTAGCCTAATCCATTGCAGATCTCCAGAAATGTTCCAACAAGTAAAAAAAAACTGATAAAATGAAAGAAGTCCATTTGAAATGTTAAAAACTCACAAAAAGCTCTCTGTCTACACAAATTCAGCTTGTTACATTAGCCATTTTTGAACTTTTCTTTATTATGGCAAATTCATATTCTTTTGCAGGTACAGTACATTTTTACACTATTTATTATTTCCTTCTTTGTACAAATAGAAATCAACTTTTTTTACTTTTTGGAGGCATGGTGTAATACACAATTATACAAAAGTGGACTGCATGCCGACTATTTAATATAATAAACTTTTTATCATACAGGCGTTAATTACCAATGACTGCTGTCAGATTGACAAGCGCTTTCGACACTAGTTATTTTCGTCTTCTTCAGGCCGTTAAAACGGTTAAATTCCTTTCTTGATTACAAATAATCGACCGTTCCAATTGTATTAACGTTTTGGAATGGAAGCAATAGTAGAACAAAAAATATAATTTTCAAACAAAAACACGCGCGGTTGTAATGCGCATGNGTAAATAAATGGATGCACAATAATTCATTGAACTTACAAATTAAAATGTGAAGGGATACATAAGGGAATAAAATAAATTAGAGGCTAACATTTTAAATCTGTTAGACAATTAATAACTATCAGTCACTCTAAAGTAGTTGACTATGAAATAATGAAAAATATGGAGAAATATGTAGTAACTGCTAAAATATGGAAAAATACAGTGTCCCCAGAGTGACACCAACACATTTTAAATTGCTGCCAAAATTCAGTACATATAGATAAATGCATTTATGTTGTATGAGGAAGAGCAATTCCTAGAATTAAATGAAGCATATGGAGTAATTAGCAGTGATGCTTCATGACTCTCACAATTCCCTATTACTCTCCTAGACTTCTCTTTTCGTTATATGTGAAGGACAGAATTTATGCTGGCACTAAAATCAATGATCTCAGTGAACATTATGTTCATACAGAATGCTTCTATTACATTACACACGTTGCAAAACAAATGACAGGAAATTGAAAATTGTTTATTCTCCATGCAACAGCAGGAGCATATGTGGATATTTTATAATTTTGTGTACGTGAAAATTCTTAACATACAGACGTTAAAATACAAATAAATGTTATATTAACAAGTGCTTTCAACGAGAATTGATTTCGTTCTAAAGCATTAATACTGTTGGAATAATTTGATATTCATATTCAAAAAGGATATTAGCCATCTTTATCAACCTGAAGATGATGAAAATAATTCTCGTTGAAAACACTTGTTAATATAGTGACATTTATTTGTATTTTAATGCCTGTATGTTAAGAATTTTCACATATTAAATGATCAGCGTGCTGTCCAATTCTGGATTAAAGTTAATTTTGTGTAAAAAGGAGTAAAGGTAGAACTATCAATTTTTGCAATAAAACTAGATGAATTTATCTTCAAATTGCATACCTTACTTTTATTGTATTTCTTGAACTTCTTACCTAATTTTATTTATAACCTTTCAAAATGTGTCAGTCTCAATGCACACACCTTCTATATGTTACATAAAATTAACATAATTTGCTTCAGAAATCAATGCATTAGTCAAATATCAAAGTTTGTCTTTACTACATATCATCAAGAAAAACATGCTGCAACACATAAATCCAGACTGTAGTAATGAACCTGACTGGCAAAATCAAATAATTAGAATAACACAAGTTCAGAACAGTTATGACATAGCATTTCTAAAGGTTTCTAAATGACTAAAAAATAATATTGTCTTGTAAAGAAGTTTAAGCAGTTATTTGACTTTTATTGGTTAAAAAATGGGTCCATTGTGAGCTCATTGAGATGTAGGAGGACAAGCTACTCCATGACAATACCAGATGTCCTAAAGCTCACCAGAAATTGCTATAAATATTTTGCATCATTCCCAATACATCCCAGGTCTGACACCTTCTAACTTTCATGTTTTCCCATGTTCAAAAAGAACATATGTTTACTGTTTACTGAAGTAATCAATGATCTTTAAACAATGGTTACAGTTAGAGACATGCTATCATTTCGGATCCAGTTAATCATTAGAACAGTAAAATGTTAGCTGGATGACTGCAACAACACAGAGAGAAAGTTTTTGAGGATGGAATGAACAAACTTGTGGAATGAATTAAATTCTTTTAATTAATTAATGGTGATTCATACTTAAAATTTAATTCATTCTAGGAGGTGTTTGAACACCACATTGTTGGAAGTGTAATCCCACAGTTTACAAATTACTTTGCAATGGAAAAGATGAGGTCAACAAAGAGAAGTTACGGGGCATACAAAGTTCTCGTAAGGGATGACAGATTCAATAAAGATCTTGAATACATGGGATCTACTAAATAATGTGCAGTATGTCATTGTATATATTAATTTAATCATAGTTTTAGAATATTTTCCTTTGTTCTTTGTTCCTTCTTGCTTCTAGAACTTTCTTTTCTAACTCTTTTCCCTTGAGTGGTGAGGATCAATTTGTGGAACTACAGAAAACATAGAAAGAAGACCCGACGGCACGAGTGAAAGGGAGTGGGACATTCTTTAAACTAGACCTCAAAGTAAATGAACGAAGATAGTGCTCTGTGCCATCAAGAGTAGCTTGACTGGAGGAACAGTGCTAGTCTGATAGGAACTTGAATTTTATCATAGTCACAATAAAAGGAGTATATACTAAGTACAAAGGATAACCAAAGGAAGACAACGACAAGCCATCAGTCTGAGTGAGTTCTATATGGCCTCCCACTAAAACTGTACAAAGTTCTGTACATCCCGGGTATTTCATTCTTTCCTATATCCTATTTCACTATTTATCACTCTCCCTTTATCTTCCCTCTTTCCTTAGTTTAAATTAGTTTGTAAGTACAGTAGTAGTTACAGTCTTTCCCAATATCATTTTATAGTACAGGTAACCCCCGTATAACACGGTAGTTACGTTCCAAAAAATTGCCGTGTTATGCAAATCCGTGTTATACGAAACAAAGAACTAATACGAAAAGGAGGGTTAGGTTCCAAAAATTAAAAATCATGCTATTATATTTTCATAATTAAGATAAATATCTTCATTAAAATTTTTTAAGTAATACACATTAATATAAATTAAACAATGTTCCCCGTATAACACGGTAGTTACGTTCCAAAAAATTGCCGTGTTATGCGAATCAAAGAACTAGTACAAAAAGGAGGGTTAGGTTCCAAAAATTAAACATGCTACTATATTTTCATAATTAAGATAAATATCTTCATTAAAATTTTTTAAGTAATACACATTAATATAAATTAAACAATGTTTTCTTCGTCATCACTAATAACACTATTAATTAACCGAGAGCGTTTTCTTTTTGGCAAGTTATCCTTATCCTCTGAGCATTTTTCTGCATTATCTTCAGAACCATGCTTTACCTTTTGCAAAATGTATCGACAGAAGGCGAGAAGAGAAAATTTACATACTTAAGTACTAATAGTTCAAGGGTTTTATCCAATTCTCGAATCGTGTCAGAGTGAATCTGTGCTATAAAAGTACCGTGTTATACGGGGGATGATACCAATTCTCGAACCGTGTTAGAGTGAATCCGTGCTATAGAAGTGCCGTGTTATACAGGGGATGGTACCAATTCTCGAACCGTGTTAGAGTGAATCCGTGCTATAGAAGTGCCGTGTTATACGGGGGTTACCTGTATATGTCATAATCGGTACGTATTTATGTCATTATTTGCCATTGATATGTGAGAATTCGAGATTTAATGTGAATTTTGGAGTTTCAGTAATTTTTATTTTTATCATTATTTCCCAATCCTGCCTTCCTTTTCATGGAAGTTAAAGCTAGACCTTTTGACCTATAAGTGGACTGCGTCACTTCAAAAGGTGACCTTCTAAACATCTTAAAAGTTCTCCCCTCAAAACGGGATTATTCAGTTTCACCTTTGTTACAATGTACATACAAATCAGTAGCCAATTGACAAGAATCTCCACCTGTTACATGATAGAGAGTAACAAAATGACTCACAATCATCACCCAGGTGGCCTTGCAGATGTTCTGATCTTTGCCACCTGCAGCAATTAATTTAAGAAGTTTGACAGCTGTTGTCAAATTTATGATAGGAAAGGGTGATAATAAACTAAAAAAACTCTTGACATCAGTCAAGAGTTACATGAAATTGCATCAGATTTATCTCCAATGATTCCCCCTCCGAGAGGTGTATAAAAAGAGGTCGCACTTGCACCTCTGGGTGGACAGCCGAAGCAGACCCAATCAAGTGGACATCCGAGGCAGACAGCCGAAACGGATATAGCCAAGTGGACGTCAGGGATACCGCCATTCTGTCCGTCGCAATCCTGCCTTCCCACCATAATCATCACCGTCTGTCTATCGATGAGACAGATCTGAAGAGAAGAGAGATTAAAATTAGGAACAACCGATCCAAGAGCGTTTCACCAATGCCCAATAAGCCAGAAGCAGAAATCGCGAGTCCCTCAATTAGCCAATTTCGATACTCTCTTTCATTCCCCGTCACTCTCTTGATCATAGCTTATGATTCAAAATTATTATATCTTTGGAGTAAGATCTAGGTCAGCGATGTCCAACACTTTTTGCCCCCGGGCTGAATTGGAAAGAAAATTTTTTCCAGGGGCCGAACCTGAGGCTGCCCTAGGAAGATTTTGAGCTGCTGCAAGATCTCATTGTGGTGTCACCCCGTAGAGACTGAATTGTATATAGAGATTACAGATACATTTTTTTTACATTATCATGCTTTATCAACACTCTACGCTGTACTTAAGAGATTTGTAATGGAGGGTTAACTCTAACCTGACAGTGAGTTGTTGACTCTTTTTTTTTTTTTTAGGCATCAGGATTTTACATCCAGCTATTTGGACTTCAGTAGCTAATATTCAAAGATTGATCGCAGGCCACATAAATTCATTAGACGGGCCGGATCTTGTCCGCAGGCCGTATGTTGGCCACTCTTATTAGACGAATTTTGGTAACCTTTATGTTTTGTATTCGTTTGTACAAGTTCAGATAATTAAATACATTTTTATATTAAATGTTGTGTCATCCTGGAATACATCCGACACCTTATCACGATCTCGCTATCCCTCCCCACTCACATTTTTGCCCTCCTATTAATTAAGCCATCTCTGACAGAGCCACCGATAAGCAGGGAGAAGCTTGCCGATCTATCCCCTTGGTTCTCACAGATATTTGTTACCACCATGTTGTAATTATTTATCATTAAGTTGGAATCCAAAAGAATCTGTACATATTCCGTGAAATAAAATACTTTGTTTAACTATATACTATGCCTAGTATTCATTTGGTACATTCTCCTTTGTTGGTCAACATGTATTTCGTGGGATCATCACACTAGAACTCACCAGTGGCTCCCAACAATTTTGGATTAGGCAAAATTGCTTTTGTGTAGCTTCTTATTAAATATTTACACTAGTTAAACATTGTTATTAGCTTTTCTTATTATGAACTATCTTAGAGAATACAAATTTCAGATATTTTATACTTATATTTATTATTACATTTANTCACTTATTTTGCTTATTTATATATATTTTTAATTTTATTTTTATTACCATTTTTGGTATTTATTCTATATTTTTATGTTAACTATTTAGTTTATTTATGCATTTTAGTATTTTAGTTGTTTTCATACTTTTCCATTTATGTATTATTTAAAAGTCCAGCATTCTCTCATTTTTTAATTTTTTATTCTAGAACAGTAATATTTAAATATATGTGTCAGAAATACATTTATGTTCTGTTTATTTCAAATGAAAACCATCATTCAATTGCTATTTTTTTTTTGTTTTATCCTAAAGAAGGTTGATAAAAATGACCAAAAACATTAGATTAAAAGTATCGCTATATTTTAAGGTTTTTTATGATGTTATTTAATACAAGTGCAGTATCCAAAAATGGACGATTATTATTATTAAATTCTAAATTTTCATACTATATATTATTTATATTTTCCAGCATTCAGACTTTACATTTTGTTATCTTTCTTTTTTTCTAATGAAAAAGCATCATTCTTAAATTCGTACAATTTTATTTCTTTTTTCACAGTACTACACATATTAATATGTGGCACCCATCAGCGATGGGCCAATTCAGACTGATAGAGGCACAGAAAAGAAGAAAAAAGCAAACTTTGAACCGAACACTCACTTTTGGACCGACGACTACTGAGGATGGATGCTTGAATGGGCAGTCAACATGAACAGAGACGAACAAGATCTTTGATCGATGTCAAGATGTAAAAAGCATTGCACATTGTTGTATATACGTGTAATTAAATAAATATAAAATCCAACCTGATGTTTTCCTCATCAGCATTGAATCATTTTTATTTGGTGACCAAACACCAAAATTAATAAACTGTAATAAACTGGAATCAAGTTCACATTTCATTTGAATAAGATAAAACTTTTAATTACTGATTCAAGTTATATTGATAATTAATTATAAAAAAAATAAACTACTAATAAAATAAAACTTTATCAATCAAAAGAACTTTTTAAAGTTGCTCTTTACAGAAAATAATATGTCATTAAAATATTTTCTAATATTTAAGGTGTGGTTATGTTTAGTTAAATGGAATGTAGCTGATACTCATGACAGGATAGACTATTAAATTGGATATTTTAGTAAAGGAAGTTATAAATTACAATCTGTAAAATTTAGAAACAATTTTTATAATTTATAAAATATATAGCTCAGTCGCGTTACACAGGTAGTCGTTTAATACAGGTAACTTATACGAAGACTCTATGGATAAACTATTC